CTGCCTTGCATACTGACTACTCACATTATAATTCTGAAACTGCTTATTTATGCTAGCTAACTACCAGCTTTTACAGTTTTCGGGGTATTCATATTGACATGGATGATTGCCATTTTTCCTGCATTCAAATTAACCTCTTTAATGAGGCCTTGGTTAAACACGTCTATTTGGTCTAATTAGCACCAGCAGAGATAGAATATAAAAACAATATTTACTAATGGCACAAAAACAAAAATATGCATACTGGTCTAGTTGCCTCTACTGAATCTGTGAATAGATTGTTAGCTTAAGAATGGTGATAGCCAAGTAGAATTCTGAGAGGACCAAGACTAGAGAGAAATAATTTCAATGGCTGGACCACATGTTTATGCTAAAACTATATATAAACAGCCTACATAAAAAAATTATAAAAATTTCTACATTGATAAAGATGGTTGAAAACATGATATAGCCACGTATTACAGCAGTTAGCAGTTGACCAGGATAGCACTTATAATCAGTAACCCATGTTATTGTTTATAACATATATATATTTCTTTACATATTGAAGAAATCAGGCATGATAACCATTGAAATAATTTCATAGTATTTAAAACGTTAAAGAAAGTCATCTATGGCACTCATCCTCCTAATAGTTTCTTGTCGTTTAACAATGAATCAGTTTCCTGTTTTATCTTTTATAATGATTTATTGTTATATAAGAAAAAATACATTTACTCATGATAGGATTTGAAAGCCCAGTTGTAACTGTTTGTATTTTGTTTTAATGGTGCATAATTATGTAACTGATTGGTGCCAACAGGGACTTAGTTGTGGTTTTACTCAGCCTTATACAGTGCTAAATGTTCATTTCAACAACCACCTACACTTGTGTAAAACAGCAGTTGTGTCATCTAAAAGTAATGTTAATTGATTCTCTTCTAGTTTTAAATTATCATATGATAGATATATTTATTTGTAAAGTAATATCTAAATTTTGTCCAACCACTGTACTAGAATGTATATTAATATAATGTTATATTGAAGATAAGTTCCGAGAAGGTACGTTACCTCCTCACACATAAATAACTGCTCTTGTTCAATTCAGCTCTCTATTTTTTGTGCATGCGACAAGTCTTGAAACTCACACCCATCTGGAATTGACTAATTCCAATGCGCCTCGCATGCAAATTATCATGCGACAACCCTCCTCCAATAACAGTGCGACACACTCTCTTGATACATGTGACTCCTTCTATTGAATTCTAACAAACTATAACTTCTCGTTTGGCAGTAATCATGTTATAACATTTAGTTTGTGCTCTCTTAAAGTGTTTTATTTTAATTTTTTTTCCATATCTTTGTATTAATTTCTCTCAAGAAATTTACTCTTTGTTATATGATAGTGATATTTGTAACCTGTTGAGTTATTCTGAATTGGAATATTTTATAATTCTACCTGGTTACGAAACTTATTACTCTATTACAAAAATTTTTTATTTGTTTCTGCCAACACAGTTGTGTTTAGTTATTCATTTTTCATTATGAATTCTACGTTACCATGTTGGAGGTTATATGTCCTGTTAGCACATTTACACAGGCTTCAGGTCGCAGTACTCTGTGGGAAGATTTTTGGCTTTACTTCATTGGGAGATTTATCATCCAATGAACTGACTTTTGTCGGGCCTTGTCTCGAGTTTTGGGGTCCACACATTTGAAACATAGTCTGCTGACTTTGGAAAGATAAGACATTTTACTGTTATAGTTTTTGAATAATTTTATTGTTAATATTATTATCTATAGTTATTTGGGTTCCATAACATAAGTTTTGCTAGATTGGTTAATACTCATAATCAAGTTCAGGTTATCAATTAGTCTTAGTTGTATCTTTTCTTTGCTTAGGCTTACCATGGTCTTTGTTATTTTAGGATTACCTGTAATTCATCTTACTGGTATATCAAGCATTAGTTTAACTATATTGTTTTTTCTTCCATACATCATATCTCATACATATGTTATTGTTACTGCACACTTCCTTAATTTTATGCAATCACGTCTATTTCATTTTCGTTATTATTTCTCTTTTATTCTTCTTCCTATTTACTCGGTTTGTGTAGAATCCTTGAGCCGGTGTCTACACAAACTTCTCCCAATATTTTACATACTTATTGTTCAGTTAATTATTTATTTTAGTGCTTAGTGATATCCTTTGTTCTGTACTGTTTGATTAGACTTCACAAGTGTTTATTTTTGGTTCACCTGTAGTTATATTTCCAAGTTAATCATTAATTAGATTAAATATCTTTTCTTTAACACATAATATCACATACATATGTTTATTTCACTCCAGAGTTTCTTAACATTTCTGCTATATCGACTATTTCATTTTCGTTTTTCTTTATAGTTTATACTTTTTACCGTTGATTTCATTTAATTTATAATTTATACTTCTTACAATTAAGTTCATTTAATGTATAATTTATACTTCATATCATTAATTTCGTTTTTGAGGGCCCTCGGGGGCCTAGGTTTACTGTCCCTGCTCCCAATATTGCTTTCCTTCCTCAAATAACGACTGAACCCATTTTCAGACAACCTAGATTTTGTCAGGTTTCCTTCACCTTCTTATGGATTGCCTTCCAAGCCTCTATTGCAGAATATGCTAGGTCTATTTCAGTTTTTTTAGGCACATTTTACAGTATATCCTCCTTCTCATACCATTGTTTCATGATGATCTTTTGTCTCTCTTTTGAGAGTGGGTACTTGCAAGTCTCACCCTATACAGGCTTTAATTCTTTTTGTCTTAGCTTACTACCAGGCAGAGGAAAATTACATTAGGAAATCGTATTTATAAGAAATGATTACAATATTTATATTTGCTACAGATTTGAACTTATTACTTTTAATGTTTTAGAAGATATTGAAGATCATAATGCAAAAAAACTAAATCCATTAAAAGTAATAGGCTTTATGTTTCTTAAACTACCTACATTTGTCAAAGTATTTATGAATTTTCGAAAATATTCGTCGACTAGTTTTATTGTTGGAATGAAATATAGCAAAACTTGCATTGCCTACTAAGAAAGTTAGTAGCCGGTAGTCATCGGGTTAAATCTGGTCTTTTCTACTACTCTGTGAATTAGTTAGTAGAAACTAGATTATGCAAGTTTATGATTTAGCCAATCAGTAGTCTGCTGAGAAACATGGTTCATAATCTGATACCATTTAGTTACTGCAAGTTATAATGTACCTTTTCATTCACAAAACTCCTGTTAATGGATAGTGAAGGTAAATATTTAACAATCTGAGACACATACTAGGAGCTTTAAAGTTGCATGAGTATGAGCAGCATACTCATGAGAGGATAGATGTTTGTAGAATATAAAACAACCATCTGACTCTTCATGAAAATACAAAAAATAGATTAGTCAATGAAAGGCCAAATTTTTGAACCATGATTACTTAGTTGTACAAAATCTTGTTCCTAGGGGCAAAATTGATGAGCTGAAACACATACTAGGAGCTTTTAAGGTTGCATAAGTATGAGCATCAAATACTTATGAGAAGATTAAATGTTTGAAGAACACAAGGCAATCACCTGATTGTGTATTTAAAAAAAAAGATTAACAAATGAAAGACCAAATTTTTGAACCAATTACTTAGTTCTACAGAATCTTATTTCTTGGGGCAAAATTCATGAGCTTCAAAAACATGCTTTGGAGACCACACATCATTTACTATAAATCTTTCCTTTGACAGAGGTGCAGTTGATACTCATTATGAATTACTTCTGAGAATAGAGAAGCCAAACATTTGAGTTTAAAATAAAATATTAAACAGAGAAGATAGTTTATTAGCAGTAATAATCAACTTTGCCATGCAAACTTGGATAGTTTTCAACTGTTAGTTTATGGTAGTATACAAGTATAACAAATTTTGCATCACTTCCTTTTGACTCAATCTTTTATATTCTTTGTGCTTATCCATGTTCTTGTTATTTGTTTTTGTGACTCAGTCATTCTTCCTGATAACTGACATGATTTAGCTGATCTCTGGTTCTGACAAGACCACACAAGGCATAAAATTGCCCTTATGTATTTGCATATTTTTAGTTGCTCATGATTCACTATGGCACAAAAATCTAATTAATAAAATATTTTAAGAAATAATGGAAATAACTTATTTGTACTGATGTGAATGACAACATGTACATACTTCTAATTTTATTTGTAAAAGAACCAATAAAAACATACATTTTATGAGTATTCTTGAAACAGAAAGTTAGTTTAGTAATGTAAACTTTATCTAAACATAGTGTGCTTTTTTGTTTGAAAACTTTTTTTAATAGATTTTCTTATCTGTATTAAATGTTTGTAAAAATAGACTAAAGCCACACTTAAATGAAGTACATGCCAGCACACATTTGTCAGTATTTTGTTTAGTAAAGTAACAAACTCTTTATCAGCAGCAGGAATAAAATATTTTTATATTTAAGTGTTTTTATCTAGTTTATTTACATCATGAGAAAGTATTGTTGTATTTTATGAAAATAATTGTACAATAGATTTTTGTGATGGTATCATTTTGTATTTCAACATTTATTGTAAAGATGTTGTTTCATATTTCAATTTTTATATGGAAATTTAATTTAATTGTGATTTTAGAAATTTTATAATAGCTATTGAAATTTAATTTAAAAAAAAGTAGTTCATCAACATCAATTGTCTTGCATTCTGTATATAAAAGATGTACATACTGTTGTAAGTAATTGGAATAAACCTGAAACTATTTCTAATTTGTGGGGGAATCCATGAGTATGTGTACATGTTTTTGCTTTCATATTTTTATTTGTGAAACTTTTAGCTTACTTTCATATACTTAATCTGTATGAAATTGTGTGACATATATATACTGCTTTTTTTTTATAATACTTAGGTTTCTTTATACATTCAATAAAGTTTTTGTGGAACTAACCAGCAATATATAATAATGTTCGCAAATGTTATTATTTTTGACCACAGGGATGTAGACAAAGTTCATGATCTTATGGATGAAGTTCAGGAACAACAAGAAATTGCAAATGAGATATCTGAAGCTATTTCTAATCCTGTTGGATTTGGCCATGATATTGATGAGGTCAGTTCATTAGGCTCAAATCTCTTGTTAATGATATTTTATAAATTTGTAGTACGTGAAAGACAAAAGTAGTTAGCAAATATTTATTTTGGTGATTGAAGATATTTGTAAAAATGTTTAGATGCATTGTAGTCATTTATCGTGCTTATCTATTAACCCTTTGTTGACAGCTACCTCTTTAATCTTTTCAATAAGTTACATTTAAAATTGAATTAGACAATTTATGATAAATGTCTGTGAATGAAATTAACATTATTGTGTATGTTATGATTCTAAGTTTTAATTCCTTTATTTCAAAAGAAACCTTTTAAAAATACTTAAATTTCAGTTCTGTGTTGTCACATGACCCACAAACTATGAAAAATCTCAACTTTTGCACTCACTATCTTGACTCACATAACTCCAGTCTTATAGATGTGTATCTAGACAATTACGTACATTAACTTGCCCTATTGATATGTAACTTTCAAAGTTCTTTCACTGAATGGAGTAGAAACAAGTAATAAATTTTGTAAACCCCTGATGGTTGCCACGCCCACCTTCTATACTTTTCCTTGAGCTTTATGAAGCACTTGAAAATAAACAATTGCTTCAACGAAGCTTTCTTGTGAGCTAAGCTATAGACTCTTTTATATCCTAGTTAATTATTTATTATTTATGTTTTAAAATGCATAATTGAAATGTTTAAACATTTTTTAAATATACATCATACTTTGCATCGGTTTTCAAGGCTTATGATCTTGCGTGTGGGGAAGATAATTTTGTTGAAGGCTGGTGCATCTCTGTTACAATTATGCCCTGAGGGCACTGTTTACTTGAGCTGAGATGAGTAATAAAACGGAAAGGATGGGAAAGAAAAATAAAACATTAAAATTTAACTATGTGGAAAGGAAAAGACCTGAAATTACAAACATAACCAAAAGATTATATTTTAAGATATTCTGTGACAAATTGAAAGGTATGTGCATTTGTTCTATTTCTTAATTTTAAACATTTCAATGCACTGTATGTTGATTATAATATCTACAGTTAGTGACATGGTAGAGAAAATGAAAAATAAAATATAAACATATACGTTAAAAAACTTGATAGGAGGTTTTATGGGTTATGCAAATTAAGTATGAAAACTATTTATGTAAAGAGAAGTATTTTTCAAACCGCCTTGCACTTGAACTATTAAGAGTTTGAGTGTAAATAACTACAATAGTTAAATAACAAATTGTTAGTAGAAACACTTGATTAAAATAATGTCATTATTTGTTTACCAGATAATTATAATCTTTGACTAAATCTTGCCAGTTTTGTGAGGATACATTGAGAAATCTCAGTTACAGTATGTATTGTTGCACAAGTGAAATTTGCATATGGCTCCTTGCAAATTGCAAGTGCTGTGCTAAAAGAGTTAATGTGAATAATAGTTTTCAAATTATTTTTAAAGATAAAATCACATTCATTTTGTGTCATGGAGCCATCCAATTCATGCAGAAGATGGGTTGGTTTTTAAGTGCAAAATTACTTCAATTTTATTTTCATGAATCTCCAACTTGTGCAGGAAATGAATTTGTGTTTATAACTTCTCAAATAGTTTGACTATTAGAAATCCTTAAATCTTTTTCTATGTTTTCTAAAAGGATGAGTTGTCAAAAGAACTAGAAGAATTGGAGCAGGAAGAGTTAGACAAACAGTTGTTAGATGTAGAAGGACCTGTGACTGAAAATCTGCCTAGTCCACCACAAGCTGAACCTAGTACATCAAGTAAGAAATGTTTTAAAACCCTATTTTATATTATTGATCACCAATATTCTGCTTATTATATTCTTCTCAGTTAATTTTCTTATATACTGTTTGAAACACTAAATCAAAAATTAAGTTTTATACATTTTCTCTGACAAATAGATCTTTGTTTTTCTGGTTGTTATGCAAAAAGCCTTCCTCAAATTATTTGAATCTTATTATCAGAAATAATATTTATTAAATTTTATCATGTGTGTGTTTATTTATATATAAAAATCCAAACATTCTTGCATCATGCAACTTTGACTTGTTCTTTGAGCATACACTTTGTATCTGAAGTTAATAAGTGTTATTGCTAAGCATTTGCTTTTAATCCCTAATATGTACAATCCATACATAAAAGTACTGTAGGTTACTTTACTCCTAATGCACACAAATTAGTGCAATATCTGTAGCTTTAGAATGGAGGATATTAATAAATTTTCAAATATATTTTGTCTTTCTGATAAATTTTGTTCAGCTGACTGGAAAAATAATAAGCTAAAATATTATAATTAAGTTAATGCAATTTTAGATTCACATCGAACAAGGTGTTTAAGTTTTTTAGTGGAAGAGATGTCTTGACATGTTTACAAAGGATCTTCACTAAGAGCTGATAAAGACCTGTGTTAGCAGGTCATAATGCTGTTTCCAAACAAACATAAAAAAAGTAGATGGAACCAAGATAAAAAAAACTGAAATAAAAGTTTTGTTTAATCCAAAGCCACTATCAAAGGATCTCTCTACAATATTTGAGGAAAGCAATGTATTTCTGCTATGTAATTTGATAAGAACATAGTATCTATGGTTATTTTGTTTTGTTGTACAGCTGCTCTGACTTTTGTGACATAAGGAGCGTTTTAGGTTTATATTTGATAAGCAACTATCACCCTTTTAAAATATAATAATTCATGTCTTGTTTCTCACATGACTCTTCTTTTCTGTTAGTGGCCTTATTACTACAGCCCTTCATTATGTAATTTCTATACAGAGAAGTTGATGAGAGAGGTAATTATAGATACAGAATCGATAAAGGTTTTTGATATCTATACTGAGGGTTCATAGTGTTTCCTTTAATCGACAAGCCTGTCAAGTAACCAGTGTATTTCTTTGTCAGGTTCACCCTTAAGTGTTGTATCGTTAGCATACTTATTATTACAGATTCTATTTCCAACAAAACTAACATAAAGTAGAGAAATTTACTTACATAGGGCAAATTATTGCAAGTGAGAAAAGAAATAAAAGAAGGACAGAGATGGCAAAAACAGCATTTTAGTCTCAAATAATTACACAGGAGAGATGTCAAAACTAGAACTAAAGAAGAGACTATTAAAATGTTGTGTATAGTCAGCCCTACTCCACATGGTGGAAGTATAGATCCTGTGTGTTGCAATAAAACAACAGTTGAAGCATTTGAAATATGCCATTATAGATTAATGATGGAAACTAGCTACATAGAAAGAAAAACAAATGAAGTTTTGGAGCATGAAAAGACAATTGCTGACATATGTAGGAAATGAAAGATGCACTATTTTAGTCATATAATTAGACCTGAGATAACGTTACCAGAGATTCTGATGGGTAAAATTGAAGTAAGAAGAATGAGAGGCAGGCAGAGAATTATGTAGCTTGATAACAGTAGAAAATGGATTGAAGATGAGAAGCTTGGATTGGAAAATTTGGTGAAAGCAATGAGCAATAGAGGACATTGAAGAATCATAGTTGTTGACCCTCATGATTAAGGAGAGCACCATAATTAAGATGATACTTTGATATCTAAGTCTCCTTTAAAAAAGGTTAATCATTTTCTTAAAGAAGTTACCTTTGAATGGAATAGAAATTAAACAACAGTTTAAATGTTATCATACCTTAACAATCCTGTGAAAAATTTTCACTTTTTTTCTGAATTTTTTTCTTTAAAATATATAATTGTGCTAGAAACAATAAACATAGTATTAATGTTTTGTATGTTTTTAGGGTGGAAAATATTATTATTCAGCACTTCTATTTTTATTATAACTCTTTGTTAATACTTAGACATAAACTGGCAAAGAATGCAAAAAAAAAACTCTCAGTTTATTGTATGGTTGTTGTAATTCAGTTTGTTTTGTTCACATGCATAGTTCTAATGGTCTGCAAGTGGCTATTTGCAAACATTTATTTTGGATCCTGTGTTTTCAAATTATCACCTTTTTTAAATAAATGTCATACAACTGCTTCAACTTTAGCATGACATCTTTTAAAGTTTTATATTGATAATATCAGAATCATGTCAAAACTGATAGAAGATGCCAATTTCATCATTTATTGCAGTAACTGAAAGACATGATATGGGAGACTACATTAGGAATCATATTTTTTTGTTTGTAAACTTGTAGGTAAAGCAAAAGTTCATGAGGATGAAGATGAAGATATTAAAGAACTTGCAGCCTGGGCATCTTAAAATTTCCTTAGATTTGTACATAAGTAAGTCACCTAAACCAGTTTCAAGTAAGTGACAAGACAACTACATACATCTGTATTTTAGGAATTATTGATTTAAAGCTTTTACTTGGAAAATTTGGAATTAAATAGATATTTTGAAAGCTTCCTTTACTTTAGATCAGTAAAACTCTTACAAAAGTAAATTTGCACCCTTTAACATTTGGTTTTGTACTTTTTGCCTATATTTTGAGAAAAAACTTATTGTTTAGTTACTCGTATTTAGATCTCTGCACTTGATCTTGACTAGGTATTTATATCCCTATTGTACCTTTCAGTTATTTATTAATCTAAATTATACTTTAACATTCACTAAACACTTTGAGAAGAAAAAAAAACGTGATGTTTTTAAAGTGTTTTGTACCTTATCATAAGTTAACTTTCAAGATTTCAGTTAATAAACAAACACAATATTAATAATGAGCTTGTTGTATCAACACAAGCTTGCAGAAAGTTTCAAGGTATTGTTTAGGGTAGAGTAGAATTTAAGGATAGCTTGGTAAGTGCAATTCTATTGCTATAAAAAAATTTCTTAGATTGGCAGTTTTGTTTGTGTGCAATTATTTGAAAAAAATCTATAAATCTTTGAACAGATTTATCATATTATTCATACATATTTACAAAATAATGTAAGAGGGACATTTTTAAAAGCAAACTGCTGATACTTATGATAGGTTTATAAGAAAGAAATATGACACTTAAGATTACTGCCCATAATGCTAGAAAATGACAGAAGTTGAATGTAAATATGTTAAGAATCTTTTCTTTAAATACTGTCACCTCTAATATTGTTTCTTGTCCACTTAGCAACAACTTCACATTCATGTTTAGGAAATCTCAAATAGTTGAAGTGTAACCAGAGAATACTGCATTTTAGATTCCTGAACATGCTAAATCTCCATAAAACTGAAAACCTAGTGATAACTAAAAATATTAACATTTGGTGATAGTGTGAATCAGTTGTTTTTTATTAGCTATTTATAGTTTTTCTAGTATTTACCTGATTGAGTTGACTACAGAAATATAATGTGTATCCATCCATCTTTGTGGTAGTATTTTAGAGAACTATGCATATATACATTGTGGAAGACTTGACATTACAAGGAATTATTTTTACACTTTTATTAGTTAAAAAATTTATAATTGTAAGTTTCTACTTTTGCATATAACCTTAGAATGTTAATGATGTAATAGTTTGAAACAATCACATGCTACTTAATAATGGTTTTGTTAAGAAGAGCTGAAACAAGCTAATAATATTTTAACCTGTAATTTTCTTAGTTTTCAGCTTCAGCACATTATGAGTTAAAGAAAACTTCACGTATGTCTCTGAATTAGTACAGGGGAGAGAGAGAGAGAGTAAACTTTGTAGTTCATATTCATAATGGCCAAAAAACACAATAAAAGTTGCTAAAATAATTCATTAACTATTTTTTTCCTCTAGAGAAAGAACTTACAAAACTATTAGTGTTAAAATTTGCTACATACGTCATTAGCAGACTTTTTATCAAAAAATAATATGCACATTTGTTTTGTGCAAAATATATAAAATTATATACAATCAATATTTTTGTTTTATTTTTAGAGTCCAATATCGGATGTTGCTTTAAAAGTGGACATGTCATCTATCAGAATTCTGGTGCAACATTGAAAATATTTCGTTTGAGATCAAAGTTCAAATTTCCAGTGCAGTGGAAAATATTGACCCACAGTAAATTAGATGAATAATGCTTTTTTCTTATGATTAGTTCTTAGCTGTTGTGACAAGATCTGTTAATACTCAAACATTGTTTTGAAACTGTGTTAAATTTTGTTTAAACTTTAACATGTTTCAGTTTTAAAGAAGGTAATTGGATTTGATGCAAACAACAATAGAGAAAAACAACTTCTTCAATCCAAATTTTTAGTAGATTCTGGTATGATATAAAAATGATTTATCAGTTGTATATTTGGAATTTCAAATTTTTTTTAAAGTAAATTATTTTCCTTGATTTATAATGTTTGATGACTTTTCTTTATTACCTGTTTTAAAATGGTAAGAAAAAATTATGATTAAACATTATGAAGAATATATTGTAATTTATAATGTTGATTTTTCTTAACTTTCTAATAAGTGATAGACTGATTCTGTATCAATATTGCTTTTAGAAATATTGTTTTACACAAGGTGTCTGAAAATTATGTTGACATGTTCAATAATATTTATCATAAATGTCTGAAACACAAGTAAACAGACTAGTTAATGTAAATTATAGACACCCTGTAAATAACAAGGTATCATAGAATTTTACATATTTTTCCAAGTGAAATGATGGCTTACTGAAACTTAGTTTGTCACTGTATTATAACTTCCAGTGCTATTAGTAAATCTTATGATTTTTATCTGCTCACCTTTTTTCTTCTTTTTACTGTTTAATCAATGTTTTCAAGAAATGAATTCCTTATTAAAAAAATGTACAAGATACATATAAACATTATGCACTACAGTTTCAGTATGAATAGTGTCTTGCTTTATTCTCTATGGTGGTTGATTGTTTCCAAACCAATTGTAGTTAGTGACAGTAAAAGTGTCACTTATGTTGGTTGATGCTGGCTATTTCCTTGTTTTTCTAACTTCACATACAGACCAAATGATAAACTCTCTGCTTTCCATGTTATGTTTCACATGTTTTTTCAAATACAAACCACATTTTGTGAATTTGTTTAGTCATCGTATTTATTCATGCTATAATAATACATACTACCCTGGTTTTAATTTATGCCAAAAACTTTTTGTCAGCTGTGCATTTGAGTGATAAAATCTCTGTACATGAAGTTGGAGGTTTTCATGTTTTGTGCTCATGTTTGAGTATTATGTTTGTTTTCAAAGATCAAAAATTTACAGTAAGCTGTAGTTTATTAAATTCCACCAACATTTTACACAGGCTACTGCTACAATAAATTACACTTTACTAGACATAAATACTGTTGTCATACCAACCTTCACTATAAAAGACACATTATAATGTGCTTAAAGAATTTCTTTAAAAAAATTAACTTAGTACTTATGTATGATGGGACGAGAAATATATCTGCTTTTAGGAAATTTTGTAAAATGTACAGAACATATCGGATTAGGCACAAAATGTTAAAAAAAGAAAACATTGTCAAGATATAATAGATTGGTCAGAAATGTTAATTGCATATATTCAAGGCATTGTTTCACTATATACATATAGTTTTTCAATGTTACCTTTTAAAGCTTTACTAGTAAGTTATATACTGAACTGAGAAATATTGTGGTTATTAGCTTACCTTATATGGGCAAATATTCCTTGATTATTAGAAGTCAGCTGAAGAATGTCGTCTGCAGGGTATACCTGTAGGTACAGTTGAGGTGTGTTTTTAAACCTAATTGTCATCTTAGTTCCTTTTTTAAATTTAAGACCAAATTTCATCTCTGCAATTTGGGTGTGAGTGGGTATGTTGGACTTAAGGTCTAGGATTAGCATGTTTCTTTAATACGAGTTATTACGTTTGTCTTGGTGGAACCAGTATAACCTAGCTGAGAGCAAGTACAAATGAAGTTATACACAACAAAAGAAGAGTGATAGTGATGAACAAAGCCTCCAAGTTAAGGATTTATAAACTGCTGATTTATAAACTAAAGCCCAAGATCAATGTTCTTCATTCAGCTTAAATGCATGTAGCTCTTTTATCCATGCTTCTAGCATTGTCATAATATTGTTTTCAATGCATTCTCAATTGGGAGTTCAGCCTCTCTCTCATGAGTTTTAAAAGAATATGTATGATTTAGTAGAGCCCTATTTTATTAATAATACAAATTGCTAAATCTCGTGGAATTGTTAAAGTTACCTTTATTTCTAGTATATTCAGATTTATGTCACTGCTTACATTTTTATGAAAGAAGTTTAAATCAATTTAACATATACCCAGGTTTATGAATTCAGTTTTTCATCCCAACTTTCTGTGGCATTGTGGTCACTCCAAGTTTCTTTATGTCTGTGGAGTTATACAATTATTAAAAAATACTTCTTCATCACTAAACAAAAATCTTAACCTACGAGTTTAAATAATGGCATTTCTATTTTTTGGCTTGATCTATTAAAATATTTGCAGTTTGTATTGGTCAGTGATATGAGCTCATGTGCCTTGATCTTGTTTAAAGCATTGAAATTCTAAAAGTGTTATAAAAGTAACAGTACATTTTCTTCATTGAATTTTCTCGTGATAATGTTTCTAACGTTAAGAAAAAAAAAAGTTAAATTTCTATGGACCTTTTTTTTAATGGTAAATAAATACCTTTCAGTATTATACCAACTATTACAAGATTGAAGTGTATTAAAATACTAAATTAGTAAGACAAATTTTATTAGATGCCGTTTTAAGAAAATTATTCCATCTTTAAAAAGTAATCAGTCTTTTTTTTCTTATGTAAACATTTACATTATAGTTGTGTGTGTTTAAAATATATATAATAGTTACAAAAGTTGAATGGAACATGGTTTGTTTACCTTTTGACATAAATTGATATCGGTGGACCTCTCCAATTTTTTTGGCTCAAATATAAGTTCTCTAGATTGTGTTAAAAGATGCATACTGGTATGGAGTGTATTAATTCATGTATCACTGTCTTAAACTTATCCAGTTTGATGTAGAGAAAAACTGGTATTGCAATGTTTCATGCCCATTAAACACTTTACTCACTTCCCGTGGTTTTCACCACTATGTATTACAGATTTCAATTTAAGTACAAGAACTGAGTGTATGTGGTATCCAGTTAAATACAGATACTGTGTATATTTGTTAGCCCTAGTAAAATACACCAAGTTGGAAATGAAAGTAATTAACAGGGAGTTTTTTGTTTTCTCAGGTAAGATTTGTTGATTAGTTTTTTTTTAGCTAGTCGTATGAAAAGTTTATTCTCTAACTGTTGAATTTAAGACTGCTTGTCCCGGTTTA